AAAATCTTATTACAGGGTCAGAATGACTGATGAGCAAGCTTCTATCTGAGAACTCAGTATCTGCTTAACTGTTTCTCTTTCTTACACATTGTTACACATTCAGATATCTCTCAATGAATAATTATTTCTAATGAGAAGATAATGTGTGAATAATCATTTCTAATAAGAAGACAATAAACATTTTTCTAGTGTAAGAGACCTACACTGAATAGATCAGTATAATATATAGGTCTTATATAACAAAGAGAAAAATGTTAGAGAAGAAAAGAAAGAGAAAGTGTGGGAATTGGCAATTGAGATGGATATTTATACATGTACGCAGTGGTGTACGCGGTGGAGCTTCGGGGCGGAAGAATAGAAATTCCGTAGGTTTTCAGCCGAGGATCGGCGACCGAGAATCGGAACGGTAGGAATCTGTGAAGTGTAACAGAATAGTCGATATGATTGATCAGGCGCAGCCCGTCACAAATCTCTTTTCTTTCAATCTTCTTATCATAATAGAATGATGATATTATTTATATAGAAGAAGATGATTAATCAATTATTAGAAAAGAGACATTAATTTTCTGATATAGAGATAAAGTCTAGTGTTCTTAATATTAAAGATAGTTTATTTAATCAGAGAAGAAATAATCTGTGTAATTTATATAGTACTTATAGAAGTTTTAGTACATGATTTATACACTTTAAATTTTACACTCTCTTCAACTTTTATCATTTATCAGATAATTTCATATATACTAGCTCATTAATATCACTATTAGTGAAGACATTGATTTCATCTAGTTATTTCACATCTAGATTAAATACTGCTGTTAGAGTTAATAAGATTCAGAGATCTCTGATAACTAGTGTATAAGCTTTTATAGTATAATCTATGATTGATTGAAGATCTTCACATACATAGATATAAGCTTTGTATTTTACATGAAAACCTTCATCATTAAATTTGTAGATGAATACTTATTATAGAGAAATAACTGAGATGTCTCTCTATAATCTACTAGTAATTTCATATGTATTCTGTAGAGATATACTATTTCATTCTCTCTTAACAGCATTTTTAAATTCTTTGTAATATAAGTGTTTTTTAACATCTACTCAGTGATTTGATGAATCTGACAGTTGAGATCTATGAATTCTTGAAGTTGATATGAAAGCTGTTGATGTAGCTGTATTATTGATAACTATGAAAACAGTATTTAGAAATAAATTTTGAGACTTGTATAAGTCTGAGTGTAATTGAGAGAATGCCTTATTAATCATTTGAAATGAATTGTTTTTGACATTTACAACTGTTATCAGATGAGCAGCTCTTCATTTTTGAGTTCTGCAGCTATTAATGATATTTACTTCATCAAAGTCAGCACTGATATTATAAGCTCTAGATGTAATATTTCATATTCAATTATCTATCACAGCTGAATAAGTATTAATATCAATATCAGTGTTTTAAGTATGATTTCCTATCACAGCTTGTTGAGTATTAATATCAATATTGAGATCTGTTGACTCTGATGTTGAATCTGCTGTAGAAAGAATTGAAAAGTTATAGTAATTATACTCATTATTTTTCTCTTCTATTTTTTCAGAGCTTTGAGCATTTTCTTTGAGATGAAAAACATTAATATCTGCAGTGTCTATAATCTCTTTCAATTAATTGATAGAAGTCATTGATGATTCTCAAACTTTCATATACAGAAGCTTTACCTTCTTAAATACTTAATCTCTTAGTTATCTTTCAATATAGAGATCTTCAGAGTTGAATTTTCTATTCTTATTAAACATCACATCTCTTACTCTTATCATCTGTTATAAGTATGAAATTCAAATTCAATAGATGTTTGTAGAATCATGTTCAACTAGATATTTAATATATACTTGAGAATCTAGCTTCTGAGAGTGATTTCTATTAAGAACTTCATTCAGTATCTTTGCATAGATGCAACATTTATAGATTTAAAGATGAGTACAGAAGTGAGATTTAATTTATAGAAATTCTTTCAATACTCTTAGAGATAACTTTCAATCTAGAATTCTAGTAGAGATTCAATTTACTAGATAGATAATAGCAAGTGCAATCTCAGAAAAAAGTGATTATAACAGAAGAGATTCTATCTGTAGAGTTCTTGTCTTTATTATTAATATTACTTCTGCTCACTCTGCTGCATTATTTTGCTCATGAATATACTCTGAAGAATACTTCATCTCTAGATCTTCATTATTCACTTAATTTATGAAGTCATCTGCTTTCTTAACTGTAGTATCATTGTCAATATGAATGATCTTCATAGTACAGTTGAATTGATATTTAATTCAATTAATAGCTTATCTATGAGCTTTTCAGATTTCTGATTTTCAGATAGCTATTATAGCTATATGAAAACAGAGATAATCACATATGAAATGAATGAGATAACACTCATCATTATAGCACTGTGTAGAGTTATGTGTAATATCAGTATATAAATATTCAAATAATATTTAAGATCTAATGTGAAAATGTCTAAATATTTGATTTTTTATATTAGATAGATAGCAGAGTTTGCAAAGCTCAGTGATAAGCTTATCTACAGCATCTTCTAGATTGATGATTTGAACATCAGTTGCATCATTTATAAGCTTTTAAATGATGATTTTTGATGAATGTTCTAATCTCTTATGTTATGTAGACTGAGTAGCTATAGAGATCTTAGATTTTTGAGAAGATTTTATATGTATTGACAGATTGAACGAATGATTTGTTGAAGTGTATAATAACAGATTAGAAGAAGAATTTGTAGAAGTTGAAGAATTTAAAGATATCATTTTTTCAGATATAGTAATATTAGAAGTGTGTGATGTAATAGCTGCAGTAACTTCAGTAGTAAATTTTTCTAAGATAGTTAAGAAAACAGCTATTTCACTATATTCTGTAACTAGCAACTTCTTAAATACTTTAATATATGTAAAGATTGTATTATCTGCATGTTTTCACAATCTGAAGTCTTTTTCATTATAATAGATGCCTTCTATATGAAAATTCAGAATGTAAGCTGTGTTAATGAGGTTGATATTGAACTGCTTATCTGCTTCATTTATCATAATTGTTCTAACAGTTTCATAATCTTTAACTTTAGTACTGAAATCATCTGTATAGACTTCCGCATTCTTGTTCACAGGTGTAAAGAATAGAAAATATGTTTAATTATTATATATATGCTGTTCTGCATCAGTATCAAAGATTCAGAAGTTTCAGAGATAGAAGTGAGAATTTAAAGAGTTCATTGATATTTTTCAAATCTGTTAATTAATAGATTGATAATCTGATTACTTCAGAATCATTTCTTCTAGAACTGCTTCATTGACATCTACTATATTCATATTCATGAATGAATCTCTAGATATTATATGATTAACATATCTCTTCAATTCTTGATTTTTAAGAGCTTGATTAATCTGAGTTCTCTTCTTCTCATTTTTCTTTTATTCAGATGACTTTCTTGATAAATTGAGATAGTAGCACTGAGTATATTGATAACAGGCTCTGTAGATGCAGTTTCTGAATGTTACTGATAATAATTACTGAGATCTTTTATTAAAAGTAGTGAAGTTCATAGGTTTATCTTCTTTGAGAATACTCATTTCTCTATATCTTTTCTTAAAGTTCTTAACTAACTCTATCAAAGATATAACATCTTTATCATATTGAATATTCTTAGCTCATACTTATATATAATCTGTATCAATAGCTAGATTCATATTTAAGAAATCTTTCTTCAAGTTGAACTGTTCAGCTATATCTGTCTCTTTGATATTATCTTCAATAAGAGATCAGTTGTTTAATCACTTCTCTATATCTATGTTTTTCAGTGCTTTACAGAGATTATGATATCAGATTCTTATATTACCTTAATAGTCTGCAGTCATGAGTGAGAGATGATCTCTTAATAAATAGATAATCTTCTTCATATTATTATTCTTACTGTATATATATTATAGTTCTGTAGCATTCACTGTTCTTTATATAATATCTTGTATCTTTATCATTTCTTCATTCAATTTCTTATATTTCATATATTTGATTTTTCATGCAGTGATCTTGATATTATATACTATTTTAATCTTCACAGTGACTTCTTCTGAATACTCAGGTTTCAGAGGTTCTTCTAGTTCAGAGAAGATATCAGATTTGTTAAGATTAATAAAGTCTGATATCTTCTTGTTCTTTACATATTCTAGTATATACTTGTATCAAAGTTTTCAATCTTCAGAAACACTAAGGTGTACAGTTGTATTAGATATTGTTTTATCTGTTATATCAGTTATATTGAATGAACTGAGGAATCAGTTCAAGTATTTAAGAATATGATCAGAATTCAGAGTGTATAACAGTTGAGTATATTAAAATGTATATAAGTGAGAATCTATTGTCTCAGTTTGAATAATAGTTATCAGTTTGAATGAGAATTGAAATTGATGATCAATTGTCTCAGTTCAAATGATAGTTATCATTTTGAATGAGAATTGAGATCAGTGTATCACACTTCTCTTCAGATGCTACTTACCGGGCTCATAACTGTCAGAATGAATGTCATGAATGAATATGTTGAAGATATATAAATCTTATGTGTATCAAGATCTGCTTGTTCTATTATCTGTGCACTATCTAATATATCTATTTCATACAAAAGATAGAGCTATTTATAGTAAAATATATGTGCGAGCCAAGAGAGCTAGTATAAGTGAGTATTAGACAAGCATTGTAGTAAGCTGATGATGATGAGAAATATAGTAGTAATACGATGTTGGTGGCGTTCAGTAGTGTATAACCTCTTTTTCCTGACACTTTCCCTCTCTGACCCTAGTGCTGTCTTACTGAAGCTCTTTTCTATGCCTCTTGCTTTGCCTTTCATGTCCTCTCCTTCATCCTCAAGCACATTGGAGATAAGAACATACTCCCCCATGTTCATGTATCCCTGGCGTTTCTCTGAAGCCTGGCTTTGATCCCTGAGTCCATGATGCTTATTCAGTCAGAGGTTCCCTGGCAAGCCCTGGCTACTTTCCTCAACACACTGAATTGGCAAGGGGTAAATGAACTCAGGCTGAAAAATGACAATTTCCCTGTGTCAGAAAGTGGTGAGAGTGGTGGCTACCGCCATCTGCCAGAGGACTTTTTGATGCGTGGCCAACTGTGGACTCAGCAGGGGAACTCGCGGTACAGTGAACCGTGGAAGAGCGTCCACAAAAGACGTCCTTGCACGGGAGTTGGAAAGATGGCCGGGGAAGATATTTGTAACAGGTAAGAAATGCATTGCACCTAGTCCGCGCCACTCTGACTGTGATTCTAGCATCAGCCAGTCCCGCAATTCGAGACAAAGTCCGCAGCTTTGCTCTTCAGCAGAAAGACCGAATAGTGTTTCAGGAATTGGAGTTCCAGCCGCGCGTGAAGTCAGAAGGATTCTGGGCCCCAGAGAGAACAACCGCTGTCTGAACCACATGGGAGATGTCCAGAAAGAAACTCATTAGGTTGGCAATGTAGTCAAGGCAATATTGCCTCAGACAGCCAGTAGTTAAGCCTGAAACAAAGCCCACTAGACTTACCCCTTTCCAATCCTTTACAAACAAAACTTGTAGAAGCTCAGAAAGGGCTGAGGTGCTTGGGGGATCTTTGCACCAAACACAAATTGAGTCTGCCTTGTGGTGGTTCAGATTAGAGATGTCACATGACCTTGATGACATGCGGGGAGCCGGAGTTGAGATTGCAAGACATAACCTAAATTAGCTAGCTTAATTCAACAACAACACAAGTTTCTCCATCAATGAAGATACAGTTGTGCAGCCAATGTCATCTTTTCTTCCAAAAAAGGCTGAATGCTTGACAGACACAATCTTTTGACTCTTTTGCTGATCCCACCAACAGTATCAGAACATATTTTAGGTGGATTTTTCCATGACCAGCACTTCAATCACACTAGTACTAACATTTTAACTGACAAATTTAGGGATGTAGCGAACTACCAGACAAAACTGCACACCATCCCTTTCCCTGGCCTTGCCTCAAAGCAGAACTACCGCAGCAATAATAGCAGAAGCCAGATACATCAGACCTGCAGTAACAACCGGGCTGCTGCCCGATGTATATGGCATAGGAGTGAGAGAACAAGGCATTGAACCAATTGTTGCTGTTGGCCGCCATGTTCTGCCTGTTACCAGCAAACCAGTTCCTTGCACAGAGCTTCTGTAAAGACCCATGGAAGCCCCCTGACAGCCTGATCCGCTTGGCTGTGGCATCGTACCCGTCACTAAACTCGCACCGAGGCCGCTTTCGACGCCCATGGGTATTCTAATGGTAGCTGGAGTTGAGCTAGTCACAGTAATTGTGACCTCCCTGGTGATGGTGCTGACTGCCGCGTGGTCGCTTTCTCGCTTCGCATTCCTTAGAAATTCGTCCATCTGGTCTCCAGGATTAAGCGCAAATACCATACCCGCATGGCAGTGGGATTCGGGGTCTGTTTGCCTGCAAAAAAACCACTGTGGATCAAGAGAATTGACAGTGAAGGACACCATCGTACCTGTACGGCCTGTCGGATTGAACTGAGTGAACCCAGTATCTAGCTGGTGCTGCGAAGTGCATGGATGCCGAAGACTGGACTGTGTCAATGTGTGGTTTCGATGGAGGAACTTGAAAATCATTTGGTCTCCCAGGTTGGCATTGAGCCGATTGGGCTCAAAGGTATTTCCGCCATCACCGCCCACCTTCACCCGATGAACAGTCTGCTGAATAGGTGCCAGCCCATCAACAGATATGCTTTGCTTAATGCTACTGCATGTTAGCCGGCAGTTGCAACTTCGGATGTGGACAACATACTCTACCTCCACCGCGATACTCTGAACCGCCAGGAGTAGAAGGATGAGAGGTTTTGGTAGTGTCATGATTTCAATCATTCCCAGATCAATGCTGCAGCCTAACTTTTGATTTTCCAATTGTTACAGGACAGACTTCAGTGATCAAGAACTATTTATAGGTGGAAGCATGTTGCAAGACCATCATTACAGATTCATTCTTAGCCATGGTTTCCATAGACCATGATAGTCATGGTATGATTTCCATAGACCATGATTTCTGGTCTGTGGGTAATTTGCACTATTGATGGCATTCGTGGCCACTGGCCATGATTTATTGAATGTAATGAAACATGGTGGTCGGCCATGACTTATTATCATGGCATCATCACAGAATTTGTGGCCCCATTTTAGTATAAATAGATGTCAGGGCACCATGGTCAATAGCCTCTTTATCATCTGCAATCAATTGTTCAGTTGATCTGATCCTGCCTGTTATTATCCAAACTGCATTGCTCAAATTTAAATCTAAGCATCTTTTTACCTCAAACTTGTTGACATATTTCGCTGGTCGAAACTATCATCTCTTCACGAGAAGCACAGAACCATGCCTTCAAATTTATCCAAGGGAAAGGCTCCTGCAATCGAACCCGACCCTGTTAACTCAAGAACAGTCACCTCACCTCCACTCTCTCCTCTGACTGAGAGATCAGTCAGCCCAGAGAACTCATTCCCTCCTCATGAATTTACCAAGGCACCGGAGGCTCGTCAGGCAAATTCTACTGTCGCCAATTCATCCTTGTCACAAAAACCTGCACCACCAACTTCTGATCCTGCAGCTTCCAACAATGCCAACCAGAGCGAAGCCCCTGGAACCCCCGGGGGCCCGGGTACGAGCTCAGAGCAGGAACTAGTGTGGAATGATGATATGCTCGACAAGATGATGGCTGAGGAGGAAATTGACAAGAATGACTCACTAACCAAGGAACAGAAAGTGGCAAAGAAGCAATATGTTCAAAAAGTTGAAGCTCTGTATGAATCACTTGGTCGTACAGAAGTTCTGAACAAGGATTTCTTTCCAGAATTGAACATTTCCTACTTTGACCGAATTCACATTGCTAACTGCATATTCCGCGCTGAAGAGAATAATGTGTATGCACTTCTTGAGCTCCCTCAAGACGCGACACATGAAATGGCGGCCTGTAGCATCAAGAAACTTGAGATGATATTGGAAATTCCCGCCTGCTCCCATGAAGCAGAAGCTAAGGTTGTTGCAAGAGCTAGAGAGAGTAAGGTTCCCCTATCATCCTATCACCATGCAAATCTTTACTAACATATGATGATCAGAGTTGGCGACCATCAAAGCAAATCTCATACAAACTGTTGCGGGTGTCGCAAATGCGCTTGAAAGGGTGCGTTTAGATGAACTGAAAGAGCCATTGGTGAAAAAACCTCGAGATGCACATGTGAGTGCAACTGCTCACTTAAAAAAACTTTTTGCTGCACATCAGTGTGGTGAAATAATCATATCTGGTGTATTCGATAAAGAAAAGCCAAGCGCACAGGTTGTTGCACACCTGGGGGCTATCGACAGAATTAACAGAGACCTGATGGAATGGAACTCTGAAAGAGGCTTGTCCCCGAAACTGGGAACAATCGATGTCTTGTCCATATCAAGTCTATGAGACTATATGAAGCGGGGAGGGTCTACAGACAATTTGGAGATACACCTCGGCAGTCAATATTCTTTAGGCTGGTCAAAGCTCCCTCCGCAAGAATTATTCACATATGCCGAGGACGACATCGACAAGTATTGGTTACCACTCTGGGATCATATCACGCCAGCTGCTCAGAATCTTTGGACTGCTTATCTTCAAGGTGGAAATGTCAAAGCGGCCCTGGAAGAACTACGGACCAATTGCTATAAGACATGGCCTGAAATTCAGAAATTGAATATGGAGAAGAAACAGCTTCTCTATGCTCATGGACTGAATCCCGAAGTCATTGAAATGATATATGTTAGGCTATTCACTGCATACACGCAAGGTGACCGTGGTACTTTTGAGAGCCTCGGGAAAATTCAGTCAAATTGGCTGGAGTCCAATGGGCTGCCACCATACTGGTGCCCTAATTATCCTGAAGTGCCATTTCAGCAGCAACCAAACAAGAATCCTTCGCCTCCTGGTGGCAATCCTCCCCCTCAAGGCCACAGAACACCTGAGACGGCTCCCCAAGGACCCGGGACTTTGAATATACCACAGGGAACTTCTGCTCAAGGCACGGAGCTATTAACCCCCCAACAATCTGGGACAATGACCTCATTATCAGAACAACCATCAACTCCAAACCCCAGCACTGCTGGCTTGGGGGGTTCTGCCTTCTCAAATTGCCCTATATGCAAACAAGCTCCAAGTGGCAGGCTTTGTCAATGCCGCGGATGTGCTATCCAATGCCACTGGGATTGTATGAGTTTTTGAGCAAGTACACAAGGACTTTCTGTGCTTCAAGCAGTGTGTGTGAATTGGTAAGTAAACCTCTCTCCTCTGGTGAAATACTGCTGATATAAATTCAGCCGGAGCCAGAAGCTCTATGAACCTGGCGCCCCTCCAACTCCACCATCCACGCAAGGTTCACCTCCATCGAATAGTGCTTCAACTCCACAAAACAGCCCTTCACCTCCATCAAATAGTGCTTCAAATCCACGAAACAGCCCTTCGCCTTCACAAAACAGTTCCCCGCCACAAGACACCAGTACAAGCGGCTCGGCGAGACGGCGGCATGTTTCAGTGCCTGCTCGACGGGTTGCCAGATGCATCCGTCCAGGGTACACAGCAGCAGGCGAGAAAATCACCCATGCAGAGATATACGGAATCGGTGGCCGTGTTGTTGTTGAAACTGACAATGGCGGACGTAAACTTCTTACTCAATCTGAGGCTGGGGGGCGCGCGGTCATCGATGGAGCATTGCAGTGCCACGAGGTTGGAGGCTTTCAATCCAGCGGGTGGAAGGAGCTGGGGAAACGGGTTTCAGAGATGGGGGAACATGGTGTGGCTTGGGTCGCACTTGGTAGTTGGAATCCCTACAACAAGAGATTGCCGAATGTTGTTTGCGGGTTCTATCACCATTTGGATGGGAACTATACGGAAATCGTTGGCTCGCGCTCAAACTTGAAATTATGTCTCGGTGCACGTGTTGCTGAGACAATGCTTGCGGAGGCTATCGCCCCTGAGGGGTCGGATGCAACATCTGTTGAGGAGGCACTAGAAGATTTGTATGAAATGTCTCACGATAGCAGAGAGGAGTACTGGGAGGATCATCCCCCACCCGTCCGCCAAACCCGCCGAACCCGCCAAAGCAGTGGAGAAACTTCGTGAAACATCCAGTCCCGAAACGGTTCAAACCTACAGTCCGCTAGGTATAAACATGTTTAGAGTATAGACTAATGCTCACAATTAGACAGGTTAGATAGCTAGCAATATAGAAGTTTCGAACCAATTTCCATCACAAGAGATACTCTTTTCTTTTGTTTTGCCCCCCTTGTGTCTTGGTGGTTGGCTCCACCAGCTTTGCGGAGAAATGATCTTCCTAGCTCCATCAACCGTGCCTGTAAACTCCCCTCACCAGCTCAAGGCTTCCATGAACCACTGCCCCCTCTAAACCATCTTATTACCACTGCAATGAGTGACAACAGCTCACCGGATTACAAGGCCCTCTTCCATCAGGAAGCAGAGTTACGACGACAAGCAGAGAAGGACCGAAAACAAGCAGAGAAGGACTGAAAACAAGCAGAGAAGGACCAAAGACAGGAAGCAGAGTTACGAAGACAGGCAGAAGATCGAGAGAGGCTGGAAATAACATGCAACCAACAGACGACCTTCAAGAAGTTTCTTGAAGTGTGCCATGACTGCTTGTCGCAGCCTTTAGTGGCTGGGACACCTTCCCGCTCCACAAAAGAAAGAATACCATTGCCCACTGGGAAATACTGCCCAACAAATCTTTGTCCGTGGTTGGATTGTTCAGTGCAACAGCAAGAAATCTTCAATGCTGTCTGCAGTTACCTCCAACCAACCGGAGGTGATGCACCTCGACTCTTCACACCTCCCCTTGAGCTACACGGTCTTGGTCGATGGTTTGGCCGTCGGCGGCTACAAAGTGAAAAGGATCTGGAGAGCTATGAGAGATTCGCGGTTGAAGACCACATCTGTGATATCATTGCAGAGCTTTGTATCATACCCGACGCCCAGAACAGATTTCACCTTGGTGATGGGGTTGTGTTTGACAACCATGCGAATACTCTCGATGGGCCAGAGGATGACACTGCCGTGGTTGATGAATCTAGTTCACAGAGACTCCAAGCCGATCAGTTTTGTATTCATCAAGTCAATGGCACCGCAAAAAGCCTACTTACCACCGTTGAATACAAGCCACCGCACAAACTCTCGGCTGAGAATCTTCGGACAGGCCTTCGACTGATGGAATTCTGGAAAGAAGTTGTTCAACGGCCCACGATACCCACTGACCAAAATGAGAAGCTGAGGTACAACGCAGAACAGCTGACTGGGTCAGCATTGGCCCAGGAGTACCACATTATGATCCAAGAAGGATTGAAATACTCCTATATAACTACTGGATTTGCCCTGGTCCTCCTTCGCGTTCTGTATGACAATTCTAGTACGCTTTATTACTATCTGTGTGAATCAAACATGGATGTGCATTCAGAGAATCCTGGGGCCTTCAACCAGCCAAAAACAGCTATTGCCAGAGTGTTGTGTCTCTGTCTGATGAGTTTTCTTGCCCAGACCCATGACCAAAGCTGGCGAAATGATGCAAGGTCCCAACTACATCTATGGGAAACGAGTTTTGATCATGCGCGTTCACAAATCCCCAATGAGGAGCTGGAACAGGCCCCTCCAGACTCGGAATATACAAGTTCAGAGCATACGGTTTCCGAGTATCTGCCATCATCTCCTTTACAGCCTCCTCCAGAGCAGCGCCGACCTACACGCTCACAAGCCGACTGCATGCCCATGGACTCCACTCTTCCACATGGCCCCGTGAATTCTTCCGATTCCGATTCCGGACCCGCAGCGCAAAGTCAGAAACAAGGCTTCAGTCAAGTGATGTCTTCCCCAGTCAATCAACCTTCAGCCGTGCGCCCAACAAGAAGTTCTAAGCCCGCGGGCGATGCATGCCCGCAACCGATAGATTACTGTACACAGCAATGTCTATTGGGTCTGCATGAAGAAAAAGGTAGATTGGATTGAGGTTGCCCCAATGTTCGGCTCCACCAGCAAGGAGGAAACAGCGATCAACATCATATTGATGCCCGAAACCTAGTCCGGCTGCTGAAGCAGCAGCTTGATCACGATCTTGATCATAATTGCACACCTTTCGGGGATTGTGGGTCGTACGGTGCGCCATTCAAGATCACTTGCGCCACATACGGCTATACTGTTGTGGGAAAGGGGACTACATCCTGGCTTTGGAAGGAGGTCTCACGCGAAGTGGAAGTATATCAGATTCTCCGGAGCCTACAAGGCATCGCCATTCCCGTCTTTCTCAGGGCAATTGACCTAAGATTGGTATATTTTCTGCACGGTGCTGGAGAGATCCGCCACATGCTTCTGATGGGTTGGGGAGGAGAAAGCCTAGAAAGAGCTGAGAAAAGCCCGACGCTCACCCATGAGATCCGCCATGAGATTCACCAGTCAACAAGGCAAATCCGGAAGCTGGGTGTCATGCATAATGATTTAAGGCGTGGGAATTTGCTATGGAATCCTGAGCTCCGCTGGGTCCTGGTCATTGACTTCCACAAGTCTAATGCGGACTGCAGGCCGACAGGAAAGCGAATTAAATCCTTGAAAGAATTGCCTAATCAGACAAAACGACGCCGCCTCCTTTCAGGGGTGGCTTCGCTAGGTTGAAGGTTTAAAGATGTTTCTACTTCTCTTTCTTTGTGTTTTTATAAGTACAAATCTTGATAAAAGATGATATTCTCAGCAGTCTGAACTCTTAGGAAACTGCTTCCGAGCAGGCAGTCACCTCAGATGGAGAATGCAGATAATGGCTTGTTTAGGGAAATATTTCTAGTTCTTATTTCGGTGGTATAGCACGAAGGTTTTCAGTATCAGATTCCCAAATTGGCTATAAAACCTTTTGCTTAAATGATAGGTACTGTTTGCAGTTGTTCTTCTGGTGAAGATCACGCCCTGGCCAATTCCAATTCCTATACTGTTTCAACACGCTTCATACACATCCTACACGTCCTACACGTCCTACACGTCCTATTTTTGCTCCAACTTCTCACGCTCCCGGACATGTCCTTCCTACGCTTCTTACACGTCCTACCTACGCTCCCACGCCTCCTAGTTTTGCTCCTGCTTCTCACGCTTCCCTACGCCTACGCCTACGCCTCCTACCTTCGTGATTGCCATGGCCTCGATCATGAATGAAAATGTACGTCCTATACCCTGCCCTTTCAAGATCTTCAATAACTAAATAGTCTAGCTAGGTTCCTTCAGTGTACACAAGCAGTTGGTCTGCCAATCTCCTCCTGGGACGCGCCGGGTCCCTTCTCGCCTGGAGTAAAGACCTCCTTGCCATTGCCTCTCATCTTCTGGCTTCGTTCCGTGTCATCAGAGATCACCAGGCTGCTCGTATTTGTTACCTTGAAGGTATTGTTGATGCGCTCCTGCCTACACTTCCTACACGTCACGCCTCCTATGTTTACTCCTGCGTCTCACGCTTCCTACGCTTCTTACGCCTCCTCTAGAATTGGAGTTGTTGACTAATATCCTTTGTTTGGTTGGTAGGTCTCCTTCGTTCAAACGACATAGACTTCACACCATCAACTCCTCTTGGCCATGATGACTTTGCCAATGTGGATGACCTCTACATGATGGACACCCGTGATAGCCATCCTCTGAAACAACAAGATCTTCGTGACAACAACTTGCATCACATTGTGGAGGAGATTAAAGCTGTTGATTCTCTTTTCACGGAAATCCATGCTGAAATTCGTGGATGAGGTTGAATTCAGGTTGAAGGAAACTGTGGGGCCTGGTTGCACGCTGGCCATGGACCACTGATTTTTATAGATAGGAAACAAGCAAGATTACATTAGCATTAATAAATACTGTGTCTACTGCTGTCTTGGCAAATGGAAACTTCTTTGATTTATTTGACCATTGTCTTCTTTCATCAAAAAAGAGACCATCTTTTGTTGATTAACAACCTGAAGAGATGACACCAATGATCATATGTCAAAATCTTAGCGAGAAAAACTGAACTTTGTCCAAATTGCGCTTAAAGCTCATCCTCAAAGTCCCAGCTATTTCCAGAGGGAAAGGGAAAATATGTCGCGAAAAGAGGACCACTGGGCGGGACAATATCCAGATTTGTGTTGTATTGATCTGTCCTCTCTCCACTCACTATAATCTTTCCTTGGCTCAGAATGTTTCCAATCTGCATAAAGCTGACAGGAGAGAGTCTTCTATCCTGTCTGTCAAGACCTGTTTGCTTTACCTCCGCCATCCAACGATGACCCGCGGAGATAGTGGTAGGGAAATCTCCGGCATGGGATTTGAGTACACAGGTTGCAAGGCCTGTCACCAAATCAAGATAACATCCAACTCCGGTATAATGGTTGCTCTCTGTTTGATGAAGAAAAACCGATACCAATTGGCCTGGTGGCAAGTTGGGCTTGAACTTACAAAGCCACGGGTTTTGGAAGACTATCCGCGGTTCACCGTCATCTTGCTCTACCGGCGGTTGTGTCTCCGGTTGCGGAGATGGCTGGGTCACAGTGATCCTTGGAATCGGCGGGGAAACATCTGGAATGGCAATATCTGCCTGCTCTTGACTAATAGGTAGAGGCGGAACATCTAGGACTGAGTTATCTCCTGCAGCAATGGACTCTGCCCGTTCTTGGCTGGAACCCATGGGTCGGGCTTGAACTGGAGCAGGAGTAGCATCCGACATAATGATGTCTCCTAACACATCGGCCACTCTTCGGGATTGACCTGATGGCTGAGGCGGCGGAAGGACGGCGGTTGGCTCTGTGAAACGTGGGAAGAAGGCAAGAAAAAAATCTCGCTTGACAGAGAAGGAGGTCACCTGCTGACGAGGTTCATCAGGCACATGAGAGTATATGTTGTCAAGGTAGAGATATTTCTGGTCTGAGAAGAAGGATGCTCCATCCGTCATTCCACAGGTGTCGCGAAAAGACCACTCGTTAGCATCGTTGGTAGTCAGAGCCGGGCGTGATATATTGGCGTGGTGGGCGACGATGGGTGGAGTGCCGCCTTGCCGGGCCTGAGGAAAGCGGAAGCCTACAGGCCTTGCCACCCCCTTAAACCGGTCCCAGAGCACCCTAGAATCCGGCTGTCGAGTGGCAGAACTGAGCTTGTGCATTTTGTGAGGCTTGAAATTCGGCACAAGGCCATAAAAGTCGCGCATACCGGCAAGCACTACCTGTCGGTATGCTGCCCAAAACCCGTAGGCCTGGCTCTGGCCGTGCTCACGGCGATAGCTAGATTCGGAAGTCTGTATCAGAGATCCATCATCTGCCGCGGGAGTATACTGCCTTCTCATGCCCGATTGGATAGTGCCTTTGAACGACGCCGGTAGCAGCCGTCTCATGAGTTTCATCACCGGCTCAAGGTACTTTGTATCCTCATGCAAGGTGCGCAAAGATGGCAGTATGCATTGGACCTGGAGGACTCGTTGTCGAAGTTGATCTCGTTCAGCTGGTGATGTCACTTCCGGAAATGCTGATCCATCTGCAAATATTTCTTCAACATATTCGCGATCAATCTTTGACCAGTATGGGGAGCGCCCCTGAAAAAGCTCAACCGTTCCGGCATCGAGTATCTCCGATTTTCCGACAGTTATTTCAACATATATAGAGATTATGTGGTCAATATAATATGCAAGTTCCTGCGGATTGGTTAGCTACTGAAACAGTAATGGACGCCAAGGCATCTAACCTCGGGACAACGCATGGGGAGCATCGATGTAGATTCACCCATGTTGACCATAAGCCAGGGAATTGCTGCAGTCGGTCAAGGGCCTCTTGAAGGGGCAGATTGATGCTTCTTTCCCGCAGTTGTTTGAAATCACGTTGAATACCTATGGGCCATCTGGCAATCCACTCGCCGACTGCCAGCTCATTTCCTTTCTGCTGGTAGTATCCAACATTCCGATATATCTCTCCGCTTAAGTGTTCCTGGGACCGTTCTTGGTTTTCTTGGATGATTCTCCGCTGGTCAATTGAAAGCCGCGTCGAATCAAGGAAACTCACTACCCACCACCGGTTTTCCGGCCCCTCCAGCCATTGAGAGGCAGCTGCCACCCGGATACGGCCTTCGAGGCAGGGAACCTTCCATTCAGGTCGCAAGCGCAGAGGTACTGGCCCCTGGCGGCTTAAGGAGGTTAGATTATTGTAGCGTAGGAATTCTTGAAGCTGTTCGGGCTGAATAATTGCTCGGATCCAGTGGTCAGGTACAAGGCGGGAGCAGCGATTCTGCTTGAATTCAGCTAGCAGCTGCCTGACATTTCGACTTGTCACATCGCGTGTGCCAACCTCAGAGTAGGGGAAATCAATATGCTCCAGAGAGATCTTCGCGCAGCCAATATAAGCACTCTCTCTCTCTTTCGAGAGCTCAAAATCCCTGATTTCTTCCCCACTGGCCTCGTTCATTTGTCCTGGAACTCCGGTTTTCACAAATAGTGGCGGGATCGGCCAGAGCACTGTTAGTCAAACAGATCAAGAAATCCTCAGAAAAAGCCCTGGTCATTTCATGCCAGTGCCAGAGATGTAATTCAGGGGTAATTGACCAGAAGCCAAGGTCGCGGCGCCACGCGAGACTCAGCCACCACGAACCATGATATTGGCCCAGGGCCATGAAGTTGAGATATCATGGCCTCTCTCATTTATTTACATGGCCTGGTCAGCGATTCCACATCACTGTACTTTTATTTTATCAAGGATCTTGATATCTGTGTTACTGCCAATATTACCACAATGGATAGCACTTCAAATAGCAAACCGGTTCGCCACCGTGATACGGTGTTTGCAACCAGCAACCAAGACTCCCTCAAACGCGTATTTCGCGGGGTAGAGTCCAATGGCAGGCCAAAGATCCGTCGCATGATACCTATAGTCCCTGAACAAAGCTCAAGGGGGTCAACGCCGGTGGCCGCGGTCGCCCAGCTTCGTAAAGCAGTGATGAACCCCTGGGATCGATACCAGAAGTGTCTCGAGAAGGAGGAAGGGATTCCAGGAATGATTGCACACGCAAAGGATGGCAGTTTCGAAGAGATGCTTTTGCGAGAGATCAAGGTTCACAGCAAGGAATGGCTCTCAAGAATTATCCCCATCTCACAAAAGAATATTGTTGACCTTCGCGAGGCCTTCTATGATAATGGCAGTATCTTTTTGTTCTACGAGATGATGGATGTTTCTCTGGCACAAATTTTTGGTGCGCCGCATCGTGGCCTCCGGCACTACGAGGTTGCCGCCTTTTGCAAGGAGGTCCTTGAAGGATTGGCCTACCTTCATACGCAGCTAAAGATGGCACATGGGAGCCTGACTGCTGACAGCATCCTTCTATCAGCAAAAGGGGATATAAAAATAGGTATTCTGTTCTCTCAATATTTTATGGATCATGCTAACCATTCAATCAGCGGATATTGGAGGTTGCTTGTTAAAGAGAATGGGTAGCGACATGTCGCAGGGCGATGTACGATCCCTGGGAGCAATAATCATCCAGTGCCTCGAACCAGATACGGCATTGAGAAGGGGAGATCTCCTGAAGGACGAGAAATGGGACGCAGTATTGCGTGAATTTCAGCTCCATACTCAGACAAAATCCGCCAAAGAGCTGCTTCAGGTAAACGAAAGACTTCCCATCTGGAGGATGCACTGGCAGCTAACAAACCTAGCACGATTTTCTCCAGCGGTCCCCCGGCCCAAACTGCCTCAAACCATACGTCTGCATTGCGCGAGAGACTATTTTCAGCAATTCCAAAGTCCTTCTTGAATAGCTGTTAATCAAGAGGCAAAGCCGAGCCACGGAAATCTTCAAGGGCCGGTGGATATTTTTGTATTGCTTAGTCTCTCCCATTCGTCCTATCAGCCAGATTCTGATTTTGTTCCAGAACCCTGTCTTTTTCCTTTTTTCTATTTCTCGTTGGCTTTATGTGACTCTCAATATATATATTTTGTAAAAATATGACGCAAGACGTGCATTCGGCTGTCCTATTTCTCGGGAAGAGTTCTTTTCTCTGCCTACTGGTGAGATATAAGCTGAGTGTTTGATAGTTTGATTCTGCCACGGACCACGAGTTTGTAATTACCATGGTAGGTATGGCAATGATATAATAGGAGTGAAACCCTCACCAGCCTGGGGACAGGATAGAAGCAAAAACACAATGGGGACTCCTAACAATGCTACTTATGTTGAAATGTTGTTTTCCGGCTGACAATATTTCATGGATATATACTCTCTATGCTAAAATCTTAAACTGTAGTGGATATTATAATCCGGCGTTCATCATTAAGAATCGCCCGACAGCTGCCATGGAGAATTATTGATCCGAGGGTCTGATGTAAATCCTTCCTCAGTCCCGGTTTGGTCACTTTAATAATCATTTTCTGATTCTGTTAGTTACCAAAAAGTGGCGTGGCGCAACAGGATGACTTGGAGCCAATGAGCACCTTATGATTGCTGCAACCTGTGCATTTGCCTTTATCCGAAAAATCTGGTGCCAGAGACACCGGACCGCAATCAATCGATGATGCCGAATCAACAAAGCTCTGCCGAAACAACCTTCATGGATGACCGTACACTTTTGAGCTTGCCACGTGTAAATCGGTCATTCAAAGCTGCCTGCGGACAAGGCAGGCTTCTTCGACGCTTGAATGCACACAGGAGGATACTAAGGGGAGACATTGGGACGCCATCCAGATTCAATCCTCTAGATAATTGCACATTCTGCGAGGGTCCATATGGGAAACATGTCGTCTTCCAGTATGATGAAAATTTCATGTCAGTCTGTGGCCCTGTTACAGGCCACGACAGAGTGCCGCGTCTTATGTATCCGGTCCTCTTTGGTGGCGGAGAGCTATGTTTTGGGTACGAACTTACTGGGGTGTCAGGTCCGAAACTTGTCGTTCGGTGTGTTTCGGACTGGCGGTTGGTCGCGGAAAGATCGTTTAATGGGGAAGTTTTTGCTATGAATAGCGCAGAGGAGTGGTGCATCTTTCACAGAGACAGTGATTTGCTTATTCAGTTCACTCGTCAGCATGGAGAGATATCCATATGGAACAGTTCCCTCAGGCGCCCTCTTCACAAGCTATTGCATCCAACAGCAACCCAAATATCAGCGCTTCCCAAGCGTGGCGGCGTTGCCGCACTAAGTGCGACTGACGGCGCGGTCCGAGTATGGAAAGACATCAATAAACCTGGTTGCTTGTTCGAATTTATCGTCCCGAATGCGCGACGTTTTTGTCCACTCGGCCTTTGTGTTTTGAGATTTGATATTGTATCAGATTGCAGCTTGGATGATGTTTATTTGTTGGACACCGGGGAGCCTCTTTCATGCAGGCAAGAGTGCTTGATCAAAGGCGAGCTGTGCGCAGACTTTCTGGATGGAGCATATGTTGTTAGATATCCGGGACAATACCCCCATAGCCGAAAGGAGGTGACATTCAAAGTTTTTGACTGCACAGGCATACAGACTGCTTCTTTTGACCACCTATCTGCTCGAGCATGTGTTAATCTCATGGGTACATACCTTGCCACCACGGGAGATGATGGTTGTTTAAAGATTTGGGCGAAAGATGGCAAACTGCTCGGGCAAGCATGGTTAGGATATTCGTGTGTGGCACTTTTTGCACATGATTGCGGCCTTATCGCAACTTCATTTTATGAGTCTAGCTTTCTGTTTGACGAAATTGCTGAGTGGGACTTTAGTACTGTTTGATAAAGCTCATTTACAGAATTTTAACAATAAATTTTATGTCGATTTTGGCGCTGTGATCAAACAAGTGTGTTCTCTTGAACATATAAATCAGTATATAGATGGGTGGGTGGATGGTCTACTACCCAATATGCAAACATTACCTTGAGTGTCTCCGGGCGGCTATTCTTGGTGACATGCATAGTTGAGAGGTATCTGAAACAACTCGCCCACTTCACACAACAGGTTTCTATACAATCATGGCAATATTATACAGAGAATGCTTGCCATTATACTGTGTTAGCGCTCCTGGTAGTCAAGTTTTCTATTTCCAGAAGATTTTCTCCTCATAGGAGGTGGGATTTTGGCATAGAGCTTGGTGGTTTAATCCCTCCACAGACCATGGGATTATAATTATCATGGTGCAGAAACTATATATATATAACATTGGTGACAAGCGCATCATCTGCTTGGAGTTAAAACAGCAACACAATGGGGACTCACAGCAACACAGCCTATGTTGAAATGTTATTGTTGGCTGACAATATCTCATGGAAATATACTCTTTATGCTAAAATCTTAAACTGGTTGTTGCTAGCCGGATATTTGATTCTCCCAGGCACATTTACCAACCACCCCTTATCACGCGCTGTGCAATACCTTGCGAAAACCGGGACAAATACATTGGATTTCAGATCCATCCAGAATCCAGGGCTGTTAGCCCTTGCTTGCCTACTTCTTGCTGTCGGATGGCCCGGTATTACCTGGCTTGGCTGGATTTGGAGAGGAAATTATATCTGGCTTATTGACCAGATTTTCATGTAAGTGAGTGATAGCTTCAGACAGGCAACTCTCATTAACGGATTCTAGACCTAGCCTGCTAAACTCTGCCGCGGGCCTTGTCACCACATTGATTAGTATATATACAGCCAAAAACGGGCACTGGTCCGCGACCGCAATTGCCGCCGTGGTTGTCACTGGCTCTTCAGCTGCTATTGCCGGGGGGCTTCTTCTGGTGTACAAATTTCAAAAGCTGAGGAGGATTAGGGGGTCTTAGTTACTGGGTATGAAAACAGAGCTGAAGGGTCAATACCTGCTGTGGGTGGCCGGAAGAGGATGGTGACTCTGACTAGGCATTCTTAGCTTTCGCAAACTTAATGACAAGCCGTGTTCAAACCTTGAGTTTTCCCAGGTTGCGAGTAACACATGTATCAAGGCATCGGCGCTCTTCTTCTCGGAGAATACAGCTGCAAATGACGGGGTTTCCATGATGCTCAATAGCTTCTCTGTAATCAGAATAGTTCTGGTCTGAACAACCTCCATCCTTCTCTGAAGATGGTTTACGGTGCTATTGAGGATCAATCAGTCTTATTCTCTTGAGAGTCTCTGTACACCTACCACTTTAATTTCTGCACCCTATCAACAGTCAGTGTGTTCAACTACTGGCGAGAGCATGCTTACTCATTTTGTGAAACCGTTATCGGGTTCATCTCCATCAGACGACGTGTTGGGATTGACGGTTGGGAAGGCCACCCTCGGGGCAGATTCTGAGACTGCAATTGTTGACTCGTTGCGTATAGAGGATAGAGGATAAGAAGTTAGTACAGTAAGATAGGGGGAAATGATCATTACAAGTTGTAACACATTGAGAGAAAAGCGAGTGAGGAATACTTGTGCGGAGCAGAAAGCTGATCAATCAAAGAGTACCTCAAGGCAGAAACTGCATTGTTTTATGTACAATCCCAACAATGCTCGCACATCGGCAGATAGTTATGCTGGAGCCGGTTCACAGTGGGGAACAGAGGTCTCACAGGAATGAATTCAATTGGCCAACAAATGAGACCATGAATTTCATGGCCTCCATGGTCGAAAATGTGGTGACCATGAGTTTCATGGCCGCTGGTTGAAATTTCATGGCTGTGCTTCACACTCTTGGGGCAGTTCACCTATATCAGTGTCCAAATGCTGCAACTCTTGCTGGTGACTGCAGCAAAATCTCCCTAACTTCTCCCTTCTTCATACGATGGACTGCATTGATGAGCTAGAAACCGAGCGTGAATGTGTCGATCCCTTCCAAAGGCGGCGTAGACGGACGGAGACTCTGCTAGGAAAGCTCCATGATTATTGCCTAAAATGCTACAGTGAAGTTGATGTTGTGATTGCTGAGTACCCAATTCGGAAACTCTCCAACACAGAGGAAACACCGAGTGCCTTGTCAATAACTACATCATAGCTCAGTTCTCAGTTGCCGGAAGCACGAAATCTCAACCTGATTGGAGGAGCCTCCCAAGAATTCGAAGCGATCGGAAGGCCACGCTGGAGGACATGCTTTACCGGTATCACCGGGATTGCAACAGTGATATCTACATTTCCATTTCAGAGCATGCAATAAACCAATCCGATAAGAGAAGATGGCAACCATCAATCCAAATTTTTGAGCACCGACTTGTGAAGGATACAAGTAAATGCTTTCCTCCATCAAAAGAGGAACTGGTATGGAAAATCTTGTGTTCTCTGTGTGATTTTACTCATGTCTTGATAGGAGAAATGCTGTCCGCGCCCCGTTCAAATAACCTTGGAGAACTTCTCCAAATCCAAATCTGCAAAGGCTTTAAAGCAGGATAGATCGATTCCGCTGAGTTTTTCGACCATCCCTCATTCCACTAAGAAAATGGATATATTTGTACCGAGGCCGTCTCTAGGCGAAGTAGGCTTGGTACGGAAGATGATCAGGAGAAAAGAAAGACGAGGAAATGGCCAACTAGTAGCGCGGATGCAGGGTAATGGCGGGTGGATAGGCAGTGGTTAAATCTAAAACTTGCTCAAAATCTGGTATCTATTTTTACGTGTCAATTTTATGATCTCAGCCTTCTCAGTATTCAATGTTATTCCTTTCAACAAAATACGACTCATATAGTAACACATTCTCATAAGCAGTCTACGCTTCTCTTCTCTCTTCATATTCCTTCATTTTTTGCTTTTTTCTTTCTACCTCTCATCTTTCTTTCTCTCCATCCTTCAAGTTTCCATCTTTGATCCCCCTCCCAATGTCGACCGTTGACGATTTCCTGCAGCAGATGTCAGATTACCTCCAGGGTGCTGCAGACAGTGAAGCCACCAACACCAGCTGTGGCATCTGCTCCGGCCCCTTCTTCCTACCTTTCCACTGGAGTCCCGAGAGCCCCCATTCCTTCTGCCTGGAATGTTTATGGAATTCTTTTGCTGGTTTTGACTCTGAAGTCATTCTGGCTTGCCCGCTCTGCCGCTGCGAAGTTGTACAGCCTTTTTATAACTGGGAAGTTCATAACTATATGGAATTGCATGGCATTCAGCCTGAACAGCCTCCGGTGGAGCAGCAGAAACTTCTGATAGCCTTCCTCTTCATCCGGATCAGTAGTGTGGATGATGAGGTGATGTGGGATGTGGACCTTCGTGAGGAAAGAATGCAGACTAGGTCGGGTAGTCCTATCACTGTTGCAGCTGGGGAGCCTGGGATCCCAGCAATCCTTCTGGCTGCAATGACCGCGACCATTGGGGTGTACAAATCGCTGGAGGACCTACCAAACCGTCGCCCTGAAGACCGCTGGATCACTGCTCTCCTCAACCTTCGTGATCAAATTCCCATGGAGATCTTCCGCAGCCGAATGCAGGGGATTCGATTTGTGGCAGATGTGATCCAGTTGACCCTGGAGGACTACATGCCTGGCTATCAGAGCTGGTAGTGGAGGATGGGAACATGGTAAGTGATGATCAGCAGGTCTGAGAGCATTGAACCTGACCACTACCTTATAGCTGGATAATGATGGTTTGGAGAGGGAAAGAAAGGAGAAAGAAAGATGGAAGCAGATAAGCGCAGAGAAGGAAGGGAGCAATCTGCATGAATGTGATAGCAGTGATGCGGCCTTAAGGCAAATGTTTTCACAAAGGTAAAATACTAGCTCTCAATTCTGGCGAGTATGAACTGCAAATTTCTAACAACCAACATCACTGCTTGTCTATGACATCTGGATCCTCCCGTGCACGTTGGAGCTCTTTGATCATACTACACCTCCCTTTGCTATATTGGATAGCAAGGTGCCGGCACGTACAATATTTCCTTCTTCACCTTTCTTCTCTCAGGAACGGCTAGGCATGTATGATTTCATTTCCTCCAGTCGTACGAAGACTGTGAACGACACCTAGGCAAGGCTTGCACCTCTACATTGGTGTCTCGGGCTAGTTTATCTCAGTAAACTCAGCCACTCCACTCCGAGCTAACTCAATCTGAACTACTGCTACTTTCTGCCAAGTCCTGCTAACATCTGAGCCAATCAACTGTCACAGGGCTTACACTAAACCTAAATGAGATATCCTCAGTAAACTCTTTACAGAGCATCTGAGAAAAAACAGTTTCTGTTTATTAGTAACACAGGAATAATTTACTTTAATCATAATATTTGAGATAGAATTACTGTGTAATATTACTTATAGATCATTTCTCTATTATCTTAAAGAATTAATTTTTCAATTTTCTGTTAATTAATGGAATTTTTATCTGAAAATATATATATTCTGAGTATGAAGTATTATATTGAAAACTGCTACTATGATTTTAAATACAGAAATAATTTATTAATTTTTCAATCATAATTATATCTAGTTATTCAATATCTTGATCTTGCTATTAAAACATCTATTTAATTATCAGAGACTATAGTTAAAACACTGAGTGTATTTTTCAGTAACTTTTAATAACTTTTAATAACTTCTGATCTCTTAATAATCTTATATAGTACATTAACTTATAATAACTTCTGACAACTTCTAAGATCTTCTGATAACTTTTAAATCAATTATATAATACTTCTTTTTAACAGCTGAGTTGAACAACATCTTATTAACTGTATTAAATATAATTAAAAGAGATTAAAGAAAATATATAAATCAGCTATAATAGCAGCTTCAAAAGTTATTATTAAAGTAAATACTTTCAATGAATATTAAAGATATATTATAACTTATTATAAGTTATACTGAATTAAATAGTATTAATAAATAATAGAATGTTATTCAGTATTATCTTTAATAAATACTTCAAGATCTATATTCAGATTCTAAGTGTACTCTTCAGCTATATATAGAATAAGTCTGTATACTTCAGTATATAATATATGAATATAGTGATACTTTATTCATTACTAGAACTGACTATAAAAAGAGTCTTATTCTTCAATTCTATATAATTCTGATAGAAAAGATAATCATTCAACTGATTTCTCTAAACAAGCTTGATAATCAGTAAATAAGAGATATAATATAGTTTTTCAGTACTAATTCTTATCTGATCAGTGCTGATAATCTTTAGAGATAAGAAGACTTACTCAAATATATTCAATAGAGTGAGTATATATATATACTACTCAGTTCAGAGTAAGCTCTTTATAAGTGATTTCAGTATGTTCTTTAAGACTCTACTTTATAAGAAAAGATTGAGCTTGTAACTATTAATAAGTATTATCTTATTACACAGTAAAGTCAATTCTATAGTCAGTTTATCAGACTAAGATATCTGAGATTACTTTTTTATAAGAATATTATCTGATTTAACTATTCTATAACTCTCAGTAGTAAAGCTGAGAATATCATTCTTTAAGAGACTGAATTTCATTCTATTGATATAAACTCACAGCAGACTCAGATTATTTGAACTTTTATTAACTATTCTAATATCTTTATCAGTGTATATTCAATTTTATACAGTAAACTTGTATTCTATAATATATTATATTTTTTATTGAACAAGATCATTGATATAAATGAAAAGATTATATCTTAATATATTTTAAAGATTATTATCTTTATTAACAGTCATGTTAAGATTTAATAAGCAGTATAATATTTCTAATCAATACTTCTTCAGATCTGTCAGAATAATAGATAGAATATTAATAATACTAATATCTCTTTTATTAATAACATTATTCAGTATTTCATATCTTGAGTATCTGAAGTGAATCAGAATATTCACTTTGAGAAGTTTATGAAATCAATATTGAAAATATAAATTATGATAATAACAATCTCACTGAGTATGAGTATAAATATTTCAGATGTTAAGTGTACTATTATATGAGGATTTTCTATTAAGAAAGATGATATTATAGATATTTAACAATGATATGAGTAAGAGAGTTATGAACTAGATTGAAAAAGTTATATCTTAATTCTTCTTCTCTACTGAGTATTTGACTTTAAAGATTATGAAAAGAAAGCTGTTTAATCTTCTTAACTATCAGTGAAACAAAGATCTTAGTAAAGAACTTAATATCAGATCAGTCAGCTATTACAGTTCATAAACTTAAAGAATATACTGATGTCAAAAGTATTGTATCAAATATAATAAGTCAGAGTCAAAGTCACTGTAGAACAATCACTGTGAAGATATAAATAGAGAATAAAATATAAAGATAAGTTAATCTCTTCACTAACTGAAAGAGAATTATTAATAACTTATATCACTGAAAAGCTCTTCTGATCTATCTTAAGAAGAATCAACTCTTATTTAATATAAATAGAATGAATACTTCTGTGAAGAAATACTGCAGTAGATGCAATTCAAGCTATATATCTATATTTAAACAGTTACTTACTACAAATATTATCAAGATATCTTGAGATAATAGTCACAGTGTCATTCTACTGTCAGAACTTAAGAACTGATATATTAAATATACAGAGAAATAGTATTATTATAATTAAGACTTTTCAGTATCAGCTTTATAATTTATATCTACTCAATGTCAGTGATAGATAGCTGCTCTTTTTCATCAGAAAATATCTATCTTTGAATTCAATTGAAATGAATTATGTGATACTGTCAATCTTCTTCAGACTTAGAGCTATTGAGATGAATTTGAAGATCAGCTTCACAGCTTTCTGTTGAGTCAAATTACAGCTATAAATAAAGTGTATGAAGCTATTCTTATAGAAAGACATTAATATCAGATAATCAGAAACAGGAAGAGAGCAGCAGAGATAGCAGTATCTACTGAAATATCAAGTAATGATTTAATCAGTGAAATGACAGCAGCTCAGCAGCTCATAGCTGTATAACATGTGAAAGACAATAATCTGACCTGAATGACTGCTTAACACACAGTAAAAAGAGTACAGTAACTTAATAAGATCTTCACTGAGATCTCTACAGCTCTTTCAGCTGCTGTTACTGCTGCTGAAGCTTCTACTACTCTAGCTATATCTATTATCAGTGCTTTCACTACTCTGCAGTTCACTTCTTCTTTAAGTTCCTGAGTTTATTCTTCTTCAAGTTCACAAGTTTATATATCTATAACTGCTCAAGTTCATACTTCATTTAAGCAGCAAAGTAACAATAATAGTATTAATATTCAAATCTCTTATAAATAAACATTATTTAATGAACAGAATGCAAATACAGATATTATATTTATAAAGATATCTCATTTTAATCATATTTAAACTTCTTCTTATAGAGAAAGAGACAACTTCTCTATAGAAAATAATACTATTAAGTAGTTAGATATCTTCTATAATAAATCTTCTATAAACTTCTTGTAATTTCTAATGACTTCTACTAACTTCTGAATCAATCATGAATTATAAAGTTATAGAAGTGAATAGAAATATACTCATCTAAATATTATTAACTTACTCATGTGTTGTTTACTTATATTATAAGTATAAATATAGGCTTCTTATTTCATTTTCTTCATCTTTCTTTCAATCAGTAATAACCTACTTACTTATTAATATGAAAATTCCTCTGTTACATCATCTGCTACTGTCTCTGCT